AGAAGACATTCAAATACCTTCAGTATTAGCTTTATATGTGTTAAACTGTCAACAGGAGAAACAAGTTAGAAAGTCAGATGCTGATATCTTTTAAAGGATTGTGTTTTATAAATGCCAGTAGATTAAATTTCCTTTTATGATGTTGAAATCATAGTTAGAAGAATTTCGTTAGTCTGTTGTCCAAATATCACAAAACTGCTGTGGCATAAATCATGCCCTTGGTCCAGGTCAAATCCACCAGATCTGTGGAATGTCTTTCCCTTCAGCAGTTCTTAGAGTGACCCAGGAATTTAAGAAGTACGCAAGTATCTGTGTGTGTGCACTCAGACTTGAGGGAAGGGGAGGAGGGCTAAGTCTGTAGGTCCAAGTAAAATACTTGTGTATTCCACACAGTGAATAAAAATAGACTAACCTTCCTCCCAAAACTAATTTTGTTACAATTCCAGGAATTCTTTCAGTGCATGAAAAACTTCACATTCATCTTTCTTGTCTCACAGGTTTTGTTGGATTTAAGGATTGCAAAACAAAGACTGAAAGGCTATACAAACAGTTATTTCCCCAAAGAGTTACTAAGTCATATATTTATTAAAAATTTGTGGGGTTAAATCTTAGGGGAGGTTTCAGTCTTACTAATGTAGCTTAGATAGGCCAGGAAAAAATGACTGTGTAACTTAGGCTTCAGGCATCAAATTGTTTGAATGGAGCCTGGGGAGACATACCCGTGAGGCCTTCAGCCAAATACTACAAGCTATTGATGACTGACTCAGTGGTTACTTTTACTTCCTTCTCCTTGTTTAATATAAATAATGGAATCCTAATTTTAGAGGAAATCTCAAAGAGCTAATTTAGTCCTCATTTTGCAGATGAGGAATTCAAGCTCAAGGCAAGACAAAAATGTTGCTGGTGAGTCTAAGAGCTGTGGCTCAGACTCCTAGGATAGTCCCTTGTCATGTTAGCACGCTGATACCTTGAAGATAGCATCAGAGGACACTTTCTGTTTGAAGAAGCAGGAGAGTAGTTATACTGTCACGGATGAGTCAGTTGAACATTTCCCTCCCTTCCTAAGTTTTGGATTTTATTAATTGTTTCTATAAAATGTACATTCTAAACTCATGCTATTATTTTTATTTTATTAATAAGAAAGCAGGCCAGGCGCGGTGGCTCACGCCTATAATCCCAGCACTTTGGGAGGCCGAGGCGGGTGGATCACAAGGTCAACAGATCGAGACCATCCTGGTCAACATGGTGAAACCCCGTCTCTACTAAAGATACAAAAAATCAGCTGGGCATGGTGGCCCGGGCCTGTAATCCCAGCTACTCAGGAGTCTGAGGCAGGAGAATTGCCTGAACTCAGGAGGTGGAGGTGGAGGTGAGCCGAGATCGCGCCATTGCACTCCAGCCTGGGTAACAAGAGTGAAACTCCATCTCAAAAAAAAAAAGAAAGCAATGTTATATAGAACTGAAAACTCTTGAGTTTCTTGTGTTAGGTGATTTATAAACAGGGAGGACAGTAAATTAGTGGGTTTATTAGGCATATGTGTATTTGGCCAGTTGACTTCAAGTATTTAGGCTGAAAACTGGGCAAAGTGGTATGAATCTCTCAAGTTTGTTGGCATATGGAGGGGGCACTACAGTGTAGGGCTGTGGTGATGAGACCTGGTTTCAAGTTAGCACTTAGTACTTTTGGCAAAGCACTTAATTGCTGTAAGCTTCACTTTCTTCTTGTGATAGTACTACTGACATTGACTTTAGAATTGTTATAGCAGCTAAATGAGGAAATAGATATTAATACTTATCATATTGAGATCCTATTGCATGCCAAGCTCTGACATACAGAATACACTGTAGGTTGTTTCTTCATTTTGGTTCCTTGCAGTCTAGCCGGACAACAAATATAAAACAAATTAACTGATATGTAGTTACAACTGTGAAAATCATGTAACAGGAGTAGTGAATACTGGAAGAACATGGACTCAGAAAAATTAGTCTAGTTTGAGGACACTGAAGACAAAGTAGCTTGCTCAAAGTCAAACAGTGAATAAATGGGAGAGCAAGAATTTGAACCCAGACTTTCTTTCTCTAGAGCCCATGCTGTCTGGTAGCTTTATTCCTCAAAAGCAACCCTTTGAGAAAGGTATTTTAATGGTTTGACCATTGGTATCCCTCCTAAATATTATATTAATTCGCCCCCTTGACCTCATGAAACCTGATGTAAAGGAATAAAATGTAGTCTAATACTTTCCCTTCTTGATTGTCCTGGTGAACTGAAAGTATGACTTTTGATTTTTGTTCCATTTAATCCTTTCAAACGTTTAGAATGACTAAAATAGAAAAAAAAAAGTTCTCTCTATAAATAGTACATTTCCTTATTTTCTGGACTAATCAATCTATCTAGACTTTGTCTTTTAAACATTGATTACAGAAGCTATACTGTAAAAATAATATGGAGACAGCAACATGGATGACTGTGTTTACCTTTGCAGTATAAATCTAGCCACATGAGTTTTATCTGGGGAGAAAACATTTATGAGTCTTTTGTCGGGACATTTATATGCCCATAAATAAAATTGCTAGGTAACTTTGCTTAGTGCGAACTTTTGAAGATGTTTTGGTAGTCAATTTATTATGAAGACTTTGCAAGAATTTAAAGACATTAGCAGTGATGTAACCTGCTTGTTGGGTTAATAAATTTCATAGTTGTATTTTGCATATAGGTGTGGCAATTTCTGGAAGGATATTACTTCCCTTTGAGAGCCTGCATATTGTCAGCTTTTACCAATAAAAGTAGATAAAACATTGGTGATTTGCTCCATAACTGTTTCCTTTTCAAAGTTGAGGTCTATGCCTGTCCTACTTCCCTAGAAAATCTAAATTTGAGTTTCCTGAGCATAACCACTAATAGACTGCTTAATATTTGCAGAGAGCTTTTCATTTTCAGGATTTCACAATCATTGCCTTTTAATCCATATAACACCCATGTGAGGTAGGTAGAAAATTCAAGCATCCAACTTTCCTGCAGGCAAATTTCTGTGCCAGTAGGAATATTATGATTGGCACTGACTTTCCTTTATTTCCCAGAGGCCAGACACCTGGAGAGGCTTTCCTGCAGGCTCAGGTACATGCCAGTATTTTAGCCACACGGGACTGCCTCCTCTTTCCTCCTGCTCATTTACTAAGATTCAGTGACTTCATGCACCATTAACCATAATGCTGTTCTGATTGTATCAATCTGGATTAAGCCCACAAAGGAAGGGGTATGCTTTAGAAGATGGTTAGAGGGCCCAAGGAACATTTACCGTATTTTGTGTGCAGCAAACTTCACCTGTTGACACCTCCATTACTCCAACAAAGGTACTTTTCATTTAATGGTAACTTTTACATGTCCAACTAAGTAGTTAGATTAATAAGTGAGCACCCAGAATTGGGTTTGTAATTATATTGAGGCAGGCAGAAAATATGTATACCTAACGATTAATCATCAGTGAAAAAGCATGAATTGAAACATAATGCCAGCAATCACATATTGTGTGTTTATGGTGCACCAGGCACTGTGATAAGCACAACACAACACATGCATTAGCTCGTCCTTATAACAACCCTATGAAGTAGATATCATCCCTGTTTCACAGATGAGAAAGCCAAGGCTAGCAGGTTACCCACATTCACAGAGCTAATAAATGCCAGAGCTAGAATTTCAACCCAGTTCTGACTGACTCCCAAGTCAGTTCTTCAAATGTTATATACTACATACTGCTTTAGGTCGAAGGTACTGTATAGATTATTAAAGTACTGGGATAACATGCAGCAAAGAAGTGCAAAAAATAAGCTGGACTAAGAAGGTGTGTAATGATTTCCTTCTTTATAAAGCAAAACAAAGCGATGTAAAAGAAATGTTTTTATCCATATGATACTTTATATATTTTTTCATAACTTACCTCAGATGAAAGACTCATAATTGTCTTTACTCTGTTGATAAGTTCTTGAAAAATAAATTGTTTTTCACCTTAAAATTATACATATTAAATAATACCTAAAACCTTAAATAGAATGGTTACTCAAAAAGGACTGATAAATTAACTTTTAGAAATTTGTAGGGCTTTTAATTCAAAAAGAAATATAAGTACACGGCAAAACATTCAAATGAAACAAAAGAATCTTCCTCCTATTTAAAATTTCCAGATCGCAGTTTCCTGAGAGTCATTATTAGTTCTGGTTTCTTGTGGATCCTTTCAGAAAGAATCAGTGTATATATTTATGCATGCATGTGTGCGTGTGTGTGTGTGTGTGTGTGTGTGTGAATGGGTATATGCACACTTGCATATGTCGCAGTTGAATTTATTGTCTTGAATGGTAATAATTAAGTCGTAAATATATCATTAATCATGGAACTATATACTGTGCATATATTCTTATAATACAAATCTTGTCTTACATGCATTATAAAATGATTTCCTGTGTATAAGTGGATAACGATGATTGTACTTTTAAGAAAAACAGATATATGGTATATTAACCATATCCTTAAAGAAGACACTAACATAAATTCTATGTAATTGTAATATGAAATGGTTATAATTTAAGAAACTTAATTTCTAGGGTTGCTGAGTTATATGTGAGAAAGAATTATAAGACATTAACTTTGAGAATTAAAGTTAATTAGAGGTCCTCATAGATTTAATATTTTCTTCAAAATTTCTCTGTACTTTCAAATATATTTTTAATATCTGATAAAAGTTGCAGAGTGACATTACATATTAAAGAATAAGGCAATATTTTGAAGTAAAGGGAATAGTGTTACATATTGCTATATTTTGTTTTAATAATGGTAGAAGATGATATTGAATCAGTTTACCTTGGAAATTATGTGTTTCTAGTATAAATATCGGCTATGAAAAGTAAATCTTAATCAGCCTAAAAGAGAAGATTTGAGCATCCTGAGTATTTTAATTTAAAAGTTAAGTCGCTAATTCTTTTTTTATGTTTTTGTTTTCTAATTTTAGGTTTTAGTATTAAAGCAGTGCCATTCCAGAATGCCATCTTGAATGTAAAAGAACTTGGAGGTATACTATTTCAAATCATTTCTATGTCTGCCTTTAACTTTTATTAATTTCATAATAATATATAAAATTCAAACATAATGATAATTTATTCTAGTAGGTGGTTCATTTTTACCTTCATAATATATTTCCTAGAAACATTTCCTTCTCTTTGTATATGTTTTTAAAATGTTGAAGATTTCTAAGTAACATAAACTTTGGGTTTTTTAAATGAATCAAAGACTTATACTATTATCGGCAATTTATGCTCATTGGTTTTACTTGTTCAAAAATTCTTGAATAAAACATATGAAGAGAATTTTAATATCATTAAAAGATCAACTATACAGGGAAAAGATCTGTATTTTAGAGTAGTTTGTGTTTATCCTGCAGATTTTATTTATTGTATTAGGTCTTTTTAGAATATATTTTTTCCGATAATAAATCTTTGCCAATGGGTTCTTTGCTGGCCAAGCACATTTATTGGATAGGCTGTACCCCAAACCATACATCACTCAGTCTTTCATTACACTCTCTGCCTGGCATTTTTTGGTTGTTTTATGTTAGTCAGGGTCTTAACCCATGTAAATAGATTAACAAAGAAATCAGTCAATTCAGTGAACCCACTAAATTCTCAAATGGCACATGGAAATAGTAAGTGCTCTGGAGTGCAGTATGATATTGGTGAATTTAATGACTTAGAAGAACGTTATCTTTCATCTCTTTAATCCCTTTGTGATATTGACCTTACCCTGTTTTGTTTTGTTTATTTTCCTTAAGGTCATTCTAACTGTGACCTATTTTTAGCTTGACGAAATTGTAACACCAGCTTTATGCCATTTTAATCATGTTTGGCACCGTCTTATTTTTATCTAATAAAGTATTGGCTGATCTTTTCAGGTGTGTGTTTTCAGTTCGCTATGTGTAGGACAGTTTTGCTTCTGTCAGTCAGTTTCATATCCACTTTTAGCTTTTATAGCATTAATATATAAAATAACCATGATCGATAAATTCCAATGTTTTTTTAAAACATTTGGTTTTCACTTTGGGAGGCAGAGGCGGGAGGATCATGAGGTCAAGAGGTTGACACCATCCTGGCCAACATGGTGAAACCCCGTCTCTACTAAAAATACAAAAAAAAAAACCAGCTGGGCATGGTGGTGTGCGCCTGTAGTCCCAGCTACTCGGGAGGCTGAGGCAGGAGAATTGCTTGAACCCGGGAGGCGGAGGTTGCAGTGAGCTGAGGTCGCGCCACTGCACTCCAGCCTGGCACCTGGTGACGGAGTGAGACTCTGTCTAAAAAAAAAAGACATTTGGTTTTGTCATTTTGACTCCAAAATGATAAAACATGAATGTTCTTGTCATAATTTTTAATGCAAAGTTTTTAAAAGACTGTGTTCTGTTAGGGTGAATATTTTAAATTATAATTGTACTTTTAAGAAAAATAAATGTATGGCATATTAACCATGCCATATGCTTAAAACCTTAAAATACAATGGTTGCTCAGAAACTGTTGATAAATTAACTTCTAGAAATTAGTTTAATTTAATTTAATTTAAAAAAGAAATACAAGCATGTGGCAGAACATGCAAATGAAACAAAATAATCTTTCTCCTTTTTAACATTTCCAGATCCCTGATTTATAAAAGATGTTTTTCTGCTTTGTGGCTTCTGGTGATTATTTATTCTTTGGTGACAATAATATTACTTATGGATATTTAAAAATCAGAACACATTGTAAAAGTCCATGGAATCAAAATGTATGGTTTGAGAATTATATAGTTTTTGGATATGGTTGTTACTAAGAATTTTAGGTTGGACACAAAACTCTTATCAAATACCTCCAGGTGTAAGAAACTATTGGTTAATAGGCGTTAATTATATATGATGTTTACTTGGATTAAACAAACAGTAAATATATCTGTACAGTTTTTAAAAAGTGAACACCAAGAAATTTATAAGCTTGGCTCTGTGCCATCAAAATTCAGTACAATAAAAGATCAAGTTAGAGGATTAGAGGTATGTAAGGTGGGAATACGTCTGTTCTCAAGTACGGTTTAATTTTGCTGAAAGATCTGTGCCCTGACAATTGCTGAAATGGAAATTACAATGGAGGGGATACCATACGTTTTGGTGGTAATGTTTTTGTTGGAATCTGTTCCGTAATGAGGTTGAGCGATGCAGGTAAAAGGGCAGAGCCTCAGAGATCAGAGTAGATACATTCGTTCCAGGCTAGTGATTCATAAGTTTTTGGCATGCATTAGTATTGAAGAGCAAATTTCTAGTCTCAGCATAGATTCTTTTACCTCCTCAACTTTAATAGCTCTGTTTCGGGCCGGGCGCGGTAGCTCACGCCTGTAATCCCAGCACTTTGGGAGGCCGAGGCGGGTGGATCACGAGGTCAAGAGATCGAAACCATCCAGGTCAACATGGTGAAACCCCGTCTCTACTAAAAGTACAAAAAATTAGCTGGGCATGGTGGCACATGCCTGTAATCCCAACTATTCAGGAGGCTGAGGCGGGAGAATTGCCTGAACCCAGGAAGCGGAGGTTGCAGTGAGCCGAGATCGCGCCATTGCACTCCAGCCTGGGTAACAAGAGTGAAACTCCGTCTCAAAAAAAAAAAAAAAAAAAAAAAAAAGGCTCTGTTTCCAGATGACAGAGTGTCTGAAGGAAAAGGGAACTTTCTGAGTAAAATTCAATTGTGTATCCTGTGTCACATGCTCAGGGGCATGCACTGAAGGGAACTGACTTCTTGATATTTCATTCACTAAGTCATTTCCTCAAATATTTTTTGAGACTAGGCTACTAGGTTATGTCTCAACCAGGAACACATGAAAACCTAGGCTAACTGGTATAAAGTGTAGCTTTCCTAGGAATTAAAGTATATCCTAGGTACGAAACGGATCATCCCAATATAAGGAGTATGTGCATTTAGGCTGAAATCAAGTTGTCTGAAAGGGAGTTGCTTGACTGAGAATTTCTGGGAGGAGAGAGTTAAGTGTTTTAGGATCAGTGTGTGAAGATATGAAGCTTTTATTCGCCAGTGGAGGGTTGCTTAGAAGACGGGTTCAGTCAGATTGTCAATCAGAGAAAAATTCTGAATTTAAGGGAGGACCTCAAGAAGACAGGTGGTTGGCCAGGTACAGTGGCTCACAACTGTAATCTCAGCACTTTGGGAGGCTGAGGTGGGTGGATCACCTGAGGTTGGGAGTTCAAGACCAGCCTGACCAAATGGAGAAACCCTATCTCTACGAAAAATACAAAATTAGCCAGGTACGGTGTGTGCCTGTAGTCCTAGCTGCTTGGGAGGCTGAGGCAGGGTAATTGCTTGAACCTGGGAGGTGGAGATTGCAGTGAGCCAAGATCACACCACTGTACTCCAGCCTGGTGACAGAGCGACTCCATCTCAAAAAAAAAAAAAAGGAAGATAAATGGTAAACAGAGAGATTGAGAGGCAGGACAGTGAGGAATGCCCAGTTAGTTCTCCCCTCCTTATCCTGGGGTTAATTCAGGAGAACAGCATGGCCCCTTTTCTCCCTGCTAATGTCATTCCTCTACCCCTTTTCAGATAGTTCCAAGGCTCTTCTTCACTGTGTTTCCCAACTTTAAATTTCTCACTCCTTCAAAATAGGGAACGCATACATCTGTGCTCGTTATCTATTTAGAAGAAGTGGTATGGGGTGAAGTAACAATGAGTAATGGAGTTAAACTCAGTGAAAGTCACTTTTGGGGGATCTTAATGACAAACTGTATGTTTGCATGTGACTATATTATATTTGTGTTGAATATATATTACTTATATAGATAATTATTTCCTGTTACCAACTTGTGAAAGTGTTTTCATATCTTTTTCCTGAAAATTCTTATAATTCTTATTCCCATCTATTTCTTTTCATGGGGTGTTTTCTTACTGTTCATTTGATCATTTTACCACAGTTGATTATGGGTCTAGCATGATCCTAGGGGCAGAAAATGAAAGATCTAAGGCACAGCCCTCATCTTCAGGGAACTCATCATTCAGTGATGGAGACATTCATGAAAAGAGATATAGGAAATTAGTGAAGTTTTTGAAAATAATGGAATGAAGGGGAAAAAAAGTACAAGGTAAATTATGACATAATGAGAGCCAAAGGTGGGCCATTTCTGTTTTACTATATTAAGAATGCGTTGTTCTCAACTACCTGTCACACCCCTCAGGGTTGCAGTGATTATGCTTATCTATTTGTGAAATTGGAGCTCTAAATTTCCTTTTTCTATTTTGCCCGTATTCCCTTTTTTATCCCCTACACATCTAATCTTTGCAACTTCATACCTAGAGAGTAGATGCTATTATTAATTCACAGATAGGACGACACTGGACACGATGATTTGACCACAGTCACTTCAAGCAGGAGGTGGGAATCAATCTGAGCCCTTGTGCATAATCAGTGCACTCTACACCTACAGCACTTTACCCAGGGCCTGGCACAAGAGAAGTGCTCCCACATGTTATTTGCTGATGTTTGTATCATTATCATTTGCACAATTTAAAGTCTTCACACATTGGTCTGGTATTTTTTTCATTAACAGTGTGTTGGTAAAACACTTTTTTTTTTTTTTAAGATGGAGTCTTGCTTCATTGCCCAGGCTGGAGTGCAGTGACACAGTCTCAGCTCACTGCAACCTCTGCCTCCTGGGTTCAAGTAATTCTCCTGCCTCAACCTCCCAAGTAGCTGGGATTACAGGCATGCCTCACCACACCTGGCTAATTTTTGCATTTTTAGTAGAGATGGGGCTTCATTATGTTGGCCAGGCTGATCTCGAACTCCTGACTTCAAATGATCTGCCCTCCACAGCCTCTCAAAGTGCTGGGATTACAGGCATGAGCCTCTGCGCCTGGCCCTAAACACCATTTTGACAAAACATGGACACCTTGCTCTCTGCTCAAAAACATTTATAGGACTTCATCTCTAATTATTGCTGTTGCTTTTATCATTAATTTTCTCTCTCACACTCTCTTGTTTAGAGATCTTTCAGGTCAA